GAGGTAACCTGGTGCCCTTCTGATATGTTGGACCTAGCAGAGCCAGGGGGACTAATTACAAGTTCCAAACAGATCAAATTACGCTCTCCTCACTCTCTCACTCTCTACTCTAGCTTAATTTTCCATTTTACTTTTCAATTGATACTTTTCCTGGAGACCACAGAGCACATTCAAGCATCGCTGGCTGCTAGTTCTCCTTTTTTCATGATTCCTATTTGTTTCTCAGCAGTTGTTTTTCCTGCAATACTGTCACAAAGACTTGATTTCACGAATTTGCCATTAGAAGAAATGCCGTCTGCAAGAAATAAGGAACGGGGAGGTTGAAAAGCAAAAAATGGGGAGGTTGAAAATGCACACATACTTTTTATGGTACTTATTGCACACCAGTGAGTTATCTAGGTGTTATACAATACTCATCTTAGGTCAAACAAGCAATTAAATGTTTTTCATCAGTGGTCTCTCAGCGACGTGATTAATCAGCCAGCCAATTAAAAATAAACATAAAATATTAAAGACTTCCCTGTAAAATTGATGCTAGTAATATTGTACAAGAGATGCAATTTCTCTGTGTTAAAAAAAATGGATATAAATTCCATGATAGATTAGAGTATCTGGGAGCTCTATACCCACTTGCTGTCTTAAGAGCTACTGAACAGAGTGGGGCTTAGCTTGAGGTCTAGGTTCAGGCTATTAAGCTGAGACATCCTTATACCATCTTTTCAGTACCAAAAATACTATGTGGGATTCACTTCTCTACTTCTTTTTTTCATCTATTTCTTTTTCTTTAGAACAGGGTTTCCTATACTCTATATAGCTTGGGAGCAATTTTTTTCAGCCCCAAAATACACAAAAGAAAAAAATGGTGGAAAAAACACCAATATATAAATGTTCATTTTATATTTAAATTTATGAATGGTCAGTCATCTCAGGGTGCACTTTATAGCTTTTACACAAAGCTCTTCTTGAGGGTGGATATAAGAAGATTCAACCTGGAGCAGCCTTGAAATTCTGGACACACAGAAACATGACAGCATGTGCTTCTCCAGCACTCCTACTACAGAGGCATTCACACTAGACTCATTCCACCATTATTAAATAAATACCCAGAGCACGTAGGACAAGTTTATATCTCCCAGTTGCTTTCAGATATCAACCCTACCACAACACACAGCATTGCCAGGTTCTGTGCAGCAGTGCTCAGAATTCATCAGATGATTTGTCTTCAGACTCAACACAAAAAAACTACTGAATGTGCACCTACGTTGCCATATTAGATATAGCACCTTTATAGCCTATAGATACTCCCCTTCACTTTCCTAATGCTCCCATCCCTCCTTTTTAGAGTCTTACTTTTTATATTTTTATATTGTCATCTCTCTCTCTCTCTCTCATGGATCTTAATATACTTTTTACCCTATTATATGTTTATGGTTCTTCCTAATGACTGCAGCCCATCCCCTTATGTTGGTCTATGACCAAAATAAAGATCTGATTTATATAACCAAGAAGAGAATGAATGGGAAGGGTAATATTGTTTTGCATTACGTAGCAGATATATCAGAAACTCCTCAAGTCTTGTTCAATGTTGTTTTGAAGAAAACCAAAGACAAGAAACTGTTTTTCTAAAAGTAGGTCTTATTGCTCTTGGAGTGAAATTCTCTACAGTGAAGGATGTTATATTTGAATTAAACACAGGTTTCTTGAAGTTGGTTAATGATGGCTTACTTATGAGACATATTTTGCCTGTAAACTGAGTTGTATCTGAATTTGCAAAGCACTAAAATTAATATTTTCAAAATTCATGAAAACGTTGAAGCATCATTTTACATACAGTTCATATGAAAGCTAGGCATGTATTATTTTTTTTCCTTCTGTCACATTAAAAATCACAATTTGGGGGCACCTTCTGGACAGTATCATTCAGCTCTAGTCCTTCATCTCCACTCAAGTAGTATGAACTTTATAGCAGAGCATATGCCCTTTGATGTCTGTCCTCATGAAGGGAACATCCTTGCAACTATTCTTGCTCTACATGTGTGAGAGACTGTTAGAAGAAAGCTTTCCAAGAGACTCTGCTTAACTCACTATAACTCTAGCTGGGAAGCTTAGTTTTCAAGATTCATTTTAACCCAGTTTAGCATTAAACAAATCTTCTTGAAATCCATGTTGTTTTGTCAGCTATGGAGAGTTTGACAATATGCTAACAGCAGGAGATGGGATGAGTTGAGGTGTGGGACACTGGCAACATGACCAGTCAGTGCAATTCCACTTGCGCAGTGGATATCTCATGAATAAAACAACAGAAAGGGACATTAAAAAAAGAAGTCCTGTCAGCTGGCCACACCCAGCTGGCTGCTAGAAGGTAGCCCTACCCATTGTCATTCACATCTCAGTGATTTGTTGCTAGTATAATGAGTAATCACTTAATTAACAGCAGAATGGAGAACTGCATACATTGGGTCTTGATCCAAGCATGTTCTACTATTTTCTCAGTTGCATTAAAGTCCAAGACTTTTTCAAGTTGGTGTGTTGCAGTCTATCACAAATGACTAAAAAAACGCTGACAGGCCATCTCTGAGTTTTTACTTTCATTCTCCTTGCAGCAGCTCTCTCATACACCACAGAGTGCTAATCAAGGGCTGAGGAACTCAACCCAGAATCCAGAAAGTACAACATGAAGAACCACCAATTAGCTTTGGAAAATAGTTTTTTTTAATGCACTTGGTTTATTTCTTTTTTATAGTAATTTTATTAAAAATTATAATTAAAAACAAATACAAACTAAAAAATAAATAAAAAGAAAAAATAGAAAGTGCAGAAAAGAAAAAATAGAAAGAAAAATAGAAGACAAAGGAGAAAGTAGAATATAGTAAAGAAAAAGAAAAGAAATATACAAAAAATCGACTTGCCCCTTCATCCCAACAAGTATAAACAATTTTAGTAACTTATCACCTTCTCTTAATGTACAACAAATGATCTCTTCTTCCATACCTGGTTTATTTCTGATTTCAATGTTAACATCAAATAATAATAATAATAATGATTAAAAAAAAACACTACTGTATTCTGGGACATCTTGTTCTATCATCCAACTATTTTCCATTTAAGAAAACATCGGTGGATAACTAGTTAAAATATATTATGAATTTCAATCACTGTTTTTCAAACGTGGTATTTTTTTCCTCTGCTCTTTTCACAGCTTATATTATACCTCAGTAGTTACCTTTGGTTTCTTTAATTATTCTTTTATTACCGCCTTCTCCAGTCTGATGCCCTCCACAGGAACTACAACTCCCAAGGCTACTAGGATTGGCTTTGGTCATGCTGGTTGGTAAATATGGAAATTATAATTTAGTGTTTCTGGAGAAATTCAGAATAAGGAAGATAATTCTATCATTATTTTCATTTTGTTAATCCTTTCCTGTGAGCTTTATCACGTTTGAGTAATAATACTCAAGAAAGCACACAGTATTTAATGTGCAACTTCCCCATTATATACTATGATGGCTCTATAAAGTAGATCACAGTTGTCTGCTCCCAACAAAATTTGACTCCAATTTTTAAACTTGTTATCTGGGAATAATCTTAGCAATGTCACAAATACTGTTTCAAGCCCAAATCAGGAATAATGGTTGCATATAAGAATTAGTAGTATTACATGGCTGAAAGTGAACAACAGGTTCCAAACCATAATAGAGGTTCACCAAATAGGTACAAAAACAGAGTAAGGGCATTTCAGCTTAAAATAGTATTGGAAACTAAAAATAAACTTAGTGGTTTATTGAACAAGAGAGGGCAGCAAAGACAGATTTGGAAAATGATTAACACTATTCCTAGCTTCTCCATAATCATAACTGTGCTGGGTTCTTTCAGCCCAAAACTAAAAATTATTGTTGCAGAAACTTTCCCATCATTTAGGTTTAAACCAGAAGGCAATGAGGGGACCAGAAATTGCCCTTAGTTTCAGTTAGTGGGGATTCCTCAGTATCTTCCTTCTCCTTTCTCCTGTCTGTTATTGCTGAATTATAATTCCCAGTAGTCCTGCCCTTTCTTAGCCATGCTGGCTGGAGCTACTGACAGCTGTAGATCAGCAACATTTAGAGGGCTTCAGGTGCTCTCCCTAGACAAGAAAAAATGTGCACATTATTGCTAATCTTATTTATTTATTTGGTTGTCAGTGGCAATTTAAAACACTACAAGTAAGATACAGGAAAATACAGCACACATGAAACCATCTCCTGCCATTACTGATATATCCTGGCTGAGTCAAAACACTGTGAAAATGCCCCAAATTTACCATTGCCGTGAATGGCAACGGAGGAATCTTTTCAAGGTGGAACTGTTCCCCAGATAACCGCAATCTCCTCCCCTTGAAAAACTAACATTTTCTCCTTTATTTTCTTACAAGTGTCTGGAGCAGGGGCATGGTCAAAGCCACAACTGTGAAGTCTCAATCTCTTTCCTGCATTGTGAAACCGAACACCTTCCTGCCCTAAATGTACCTTTACAGAAAGAAGACCTATGCTGCATTCTTTCAGGGCATGAATCTCAAGGGAAAACTCAATGGATCTGCAGAAATCCCTTAGCTGCCCTAGATTTAAACTAGCAGACACTTTACTCAGTGCCACGCAGATTTATAGCACCCAGAAATAATCAGCTTCATGTTTCCACAGCAGGATAGAATCTCTTTTCTAAACAATGGGATGAATTAAGATCTGATTAAACAGGAGAGCCCAATTAGTTATTTATTGGGCTTATATGTCACCCCAACCCAACAGGATTCTGCACGGCATGCAGCAGGAAAAGATGGATTATTTTCCCATTTTTAGGCAAGGCACAAAAGCCTCTCTGGTTTAAGGTGCACTGTGCTGAAACTAAGGAAGAAGGAAATAAAACTTTTATCATAATTAGAAAAAACATGATTTAGGCCTCTCAAAAGCATTTTTCCTGAGAGTGGGGTCCCCCCCCTTCTGAACATCCATGCAGAAATCACACCATGATTAATGCAAGGCAGCACTCTGTTGCAGCGTACGGATTTTCTCCATGAAATTCTTCTTAAATGGCATCATGAAATCATCAAAGTCCACCTCATAAGTAAAACGCTGCCGACGCAACTCCCTCTTTTTGAGAAGATCTTTTGTTGTTGCCTCAGGACTCCAAGTCTTGAAAAAGAAAAGCAATTTAATAATCAACATTCAGCAGGATATATTAAGGAGGTATACTAACCTGCTCTGAAAAAAAGCAAAGTTATTGAGAATGTCCTAGAATGACTGTCTGGCATTCTCAGTCTATTGGTATCAAATTTATCATCAGGAATATGGCTGGTGAGTATCTGTATTCAGCAAGTATGTTTGTCTCATTAACCAATTCCCTAACAGGCAGTTTATAATATTGGCAGCATGTATCAATAAACAGTAATGAATAATGGTGTGTAAGTTATTGCTACTTCTTCATATTCAGTATACCCGAAGAGGAAATATATTCAAGTACAAACTCCCTTATGAATATTTGGGAGAAAGTTTTTCATAATGAATGGAACAGTCTTCTAACATATCTTGGCATAGCCATCATGGGCCATATCAAATTTCTTTAAGGTCAAGATTTGGTTTGACAATACCTATCTGACCATCTGTTGATCTAGAATAACTTTTCCCAACAAGCACTCTTGGGGAATATCAACCACTATAACTATCAGAATGGTTGCTTAGAACTGGATGGTTGTCCACAGGGGGAGGGGGAGGAGGTTAAAAAAAGTAAAGATGGTGGCCACAACCATGCAAATGGAACCCCGTCCCCTTTCTACATGTGTTACATGCGTATCACACATGAAAAGGGCCAAGGCTTTGTCTAGTCATGGCTACCACATTGACTTTTTTGACACACACACACACAACCTTCCACCATGGTTGCCTCTAGATCTGGAGAGCACTAGGAAACTGTAGCATTATTCCTGAAATTATAATTTTGCAAGCAGCATGATTTTATTATTCAAATGGCTTAATGACAGTAGAGTTCTAGGCTGTTTTGATCCACCTGAGTTGGAACAAATGGGAAATACAAACTGAATAGGACACAAGCAACAGAATGGTCTGGACTAGCAGATATGAACACCCACCATGAACATATTCCATAAAAGTAGGAGCTCAGTGAAAATATAACTCTAATCCTATTTTACAGTAGTACTTACTCTCTGTGGTGTGAAAGTGATATTAAGTTTCCTTGTAGCTCCTCTGGTTATCAGGGAATTCAAATGAACAACATTATCCTTGAAGGATTCCTTCTTTTCCTCAAAGAGTGATTTCTCAACAACAGTGTCAAGGGGTTGTAGCATCTGAAATTCACAGTGTAAGTTGTATAAACGTGTTGGAATTTTCAAGGCTTCATGTTGCTAAATCCTAAACAGCCCTTTTTTGCAATAAGAAATGTTAAAGGTCAAAGGCTAATAGCTTATGTGGCTGGCATTTAAGTAGGAGAAGGATGCTTCGATTTAAACACTGACTCTTCTTTTAATTATTGGAAAAAGGGAATAGAAGACCTGTTGCATTCAAAAGGTCCTGGGTTCAATCACAGGAATCTCCAGATAGGTCTGGCAAAAAACAACAACACCCTATATGAACTCTTGAGAAGAGATGAAAAGATGGACCAATGGCCTTATTATGAATAAAGCAGCTTCCTGTGACCCTATTCCTTACTGTTTCTTCCCTACTGATAAGGAAACTTCCCGTCATGCTATTCTCCAAAATCTCTGCAGCAAACCCCAAAGCTAAGGCATTTACTTTATTGACACATGGTTTATTTAAGCCTCCATGTGGAAGAGTTTCTGGAATTCCCTGCCCTGATTTCAAGCACTGTTGTATACTGAATTCAGCATGCAGGAATCTTTTTCTGTGGAGGCGGTGAGGACTCAAGCAGAGATCTAGCACAAGTTACACTGTGGTCCTTCCATGATTCAGAAGGGTTGCCTCAATGAGGAGGGAGGGTGTTTCTGGTGTATTCCAATGGAAATCCCATGACAAGCCCATTGGGCCAGGTACAGTAATTCCCCAACAGTTGACTTTCCCTTAAAGTAATTTTCAATCGTTATGAAAAAGAAAGGCTATGAATTATTCAAGCTGAATAATCTGGTTATCATACCTCAGCTTTCACAGACTCCTTTGACTGTTCTGAAGACTTTGCCTTGGGAGGAGCTGGAGCCTGAGCAGGAGGAGTAGGAGCAGGAGCAGGGGCTTTAGGTTTGCCCCCCTTTTTTCCTTTCTGCTTATCCCCTTTGCTTTCTGGTGCTTGTGGCAAGTGGTCCAGGGTGTCTTGAATGAAGTGGATCAGTCGGTTGTCCGCATAGGCCTTGGCAATTTCCAGTGTGTTTTGTCCTATTAAATAAAACCTATGGTAAATGCTGGAAAATTCCTAGCTTCTTTGCACCTAGAACTGAACAAATATTGCCCTTTTGCTGGATCTCTGGCTCAGGCTTCAATCAGCTCCTGCTGCAACTATCTCCTCTCTGGCCTTCCACCATCATACCATGACCTTCTCAACTCTGTTCAAAGTAACTCACTTCTCTGATGATTCAGAGCAGATATCTCACCCTAAATTCCTAGACTGGTTTCTTGTCTGCCTGCAATCCAGCATAATTTCTTCCCTCTTATGTTCAAGCCCTCCATGGCCTTTATCTCGCTGCCAAAGAATCTTGGCAGATCTCTGCACGTGAGATTCAGTCCTCCAGCTTCACCAACCTTAGCTTTCCTAAAGGTCTCCCACTTATTTATACGACTCTGCTCTTTCTTTTTTGTTGACCCTTATGCCTGAAATTCCCTTCCAAAGGCTTCCAGGAGATCACTTATTTCCTTCAAAGCCTTTCTTTGCCAAAAAGACTTTGACGCAGCCCCTTTGTCCTCATTCCCTTTTGAAACAAAAAAACTCCTTAGCTTGCAAAATGTCATTTATACTGAAGATGTTCTGTAAATAAATAGCCCCTTTGGAAGAGCAAAAGGTTGATCGCTACAACAAATTTGTTGAACTTAACAGCTTCTGTACTATTGCAAGATAGTATTAGCTTTTCAACAAATATGATTTGACTTCATATGGATGCTGCACTAACAAATCAGATCAGATTTCGGATAAGATTCTACTTAGCTACACCACTGTTTGATTTCCTTTGCATCACAGGCCCGGGGGTGGGTGGGCGGTAATATACAAAATCTTGAACTTGAATTATTTAAATTACACTACATTCATTGATTGTAGTTAATATTAATACCCCCCAGGTTTTTAATATAATTCCCCTCCACCACATTAAAAATTACATTATGCAGGCAACTTTGGAAGAGGCTCTGGAGACTACATCCAAAGTTTTTTTTTGGGGGGGGTGCACATGTGTCCCTGTGGCCTCAGCTGGTATGGCTATGCTCTAAAGAGAATGTGTGAAGTTCAATGCTAAAGCATTTAAAAGGATTAACAACAAATTAAAATGAGGGCCGGTATGGTGTGGTGGTTAAGTTGCTGGAATGGAAGCAGAGAAACTCAAGCTCTAGTCCTCCCTTAGGCATGGAAGCCTGCTGGTGGCCTTGTGCAAGTCATTCCCTCTGAGCCCTGATCAGTGTCATGCACTGCGACAAGCTAGCTGAAAAATAAAGCTCCTCACCGCACCATGCGCTCTAAGAATTGCTGTGAGTGCAGCGCAAAACAAGTGAACACTACCACCAAGCAGGACAAACACCAGGAATAATAAAACTACAAAACAACTGGTAGAAATCAGCTGGAAAAAAAAACGAATAAACCAAAAAGCCAACTAATCTGTTTATTCTGTTAATCAATATTTTGAAAACCAATTAACTCCACAAAGGATAGCAATGTTACTTAATAAGAACAAATCCTTCCTTTCTATAGCTGCTTTGTTGATCTGTGTTTAACCTCTTAGCCAATAATATGTTGAGTAATAATACAAAACTTTACCTTTTCGGTTTGTCATCTGCGCCTTAGCACCACTGTTGATTAAATACTGCACAGTGTCCAAACGGCTGCTTTCGATACCTCTCATCAGTGGTGTTCCGTCATTGATTGAAATAGCATCTATCGCCGCACCATATTTCACAAGGAGTTCGGCGATGTCCTGCTGCCCTGCATGGCATGCATGATGGAGAGGAGTCCACATGAAATTGTCTGTGGTATTCACACTCGCCCTGCACATAGAGAAAATAAGGACTCAGTAAGGCACAACATGCTTTTCTAGCCAGTTCTTTCCATTCTTCAACCGATTCTAGGCAAAGGGGTGTAGTATTTATGGGCTACAGAGAGGGCAAATAGCTGTTCTTAAATGAATTCTTTTCATGGGTTGAAATAATGCCAAAACTCCTAATCTCTCAGCATCCCAACTAAATTAACTGGGAAATGGAGAGAGTCATTGAAACAATGAGTCATTCAGTGAAAGCAACTGGCAGTCGATTGAAGACTGATGAAAACAACAAAAATAACAGCACCAAAGGTAAAGAAATGTAATGTAGCATAAACTGCAATTAACTGCATTACAGTGCAGCATAAAGTTTGTGGATTACAGCCTACTTTAATCTACAAAGCTGTGCTAAACTAAATAGCCCAGGTAGGATCCTAAAGATATGTAAGCCATGTCCAGGGCTGCATTCGCCGATACAAATGCTCGAAACCAAATTGGCTCACCTCTTATGTTTGATATTTGCCCAGCCTCTTGTTCTCCCCATCCTCTTTACCATATCTGAAGGGTAGCTGTACTCAGAGTTCTCTGTGTACTCCATGGCCCTAGTAAGGCAGGGGCCAAGATCACAGGTAAAATTGTACTTAAATATCCCAGCAAATCTGAGCATGCTCCTGTTGGGACCTCCACACTCAACCTGGAAAGACTGAAGAGCAAAGGGCAAGATGGGCAAACTGAAAAGCCACTGGGAGCAGGATCAAGGCATGCTGCCCCAGCCTCTTCCTGAATTCAAGCCTTCATGCCTTCAGACAGAAACATAACCAGCGCTGAAAAATTAAGGCCTTTGGTTATCTCTGGACCAGAAGCAGGTTTTAAGAGCTGTGGATGAGCTGATTGTTGGATTCATCCTTTGTTACTTACTTATCTGATGACTTAAAAACTCCTTCGTCACCACCTTTTCTTCTTTCTGTTAAATCCTAGATCTTATTTATTTTGCCACACTATTTTAATTCACTTTCAGGAGAAATCTACTGAGATCTACTGAACTGGAGGCCACACCACTAGGAACATTTCCCCATAGTTCTCACCACTACAAGGGTTGCTTGTAGGAAAAAAAGCAATTACAGACATGACAATAAGTGCAGGCAGGCTACTGTGATGGGCACAAATTCAGATGGTTTCCAAAGTGGATTAAATGACAAATTTATCAAGAACTATTAGGTAAGACAAGTGTATTTAACAAAATATCACAGCTTAGCCTACTCCTACAGTACTCTGCCCCCTCACCTTGGTTTTACATTCTTGGCCTGCCTCCACAACAGCCAGCATTCTATGACGGCTGAGTTGGTTAGGCTGCAGTTTAATAAGGTACCCACCAAGTTTCCAAAAATGCTCTATCCAACACTAAATCCACAAAGCCCTGGACATCACATGAACACTACAAACCCACCTAAATACCCCGCAAATGCATTTCTTGACCATATCCTTGGATTCCTGGCAAGCCACTAAAAAAAAGTTAACTCACCCCTTTTCGAGAAGGAGCTGTACTGTTTCCATGTTGCCACTCGCACAGGCAGCCATCAATGGAGTTTTATAGAAATGGTCTCTGATATCTACCGGCACCCCTGCCTCCAATGCTTTTTTTAACGATGAAAGGTCCCCCTCTTTGGCAAGGTAGTTGATGTTGGCATAGGTCTTCGGTGGGTCATCAACATACCACCAGGAATCATCCTGTAATGGATGTTCTGGAGGGTGATCCCGATTGAACCGATTGCAGTCAGTCACATTTTGATAAGTTTCAATCATGTATTCTGGTGGACCCCCGTCCATACGACGAGGGCGAGAACTCTCTGGAATGACGCAGATTGGCATTGGCATGGCAAATTTTCCTTTTTTGCCTTTCGCTTTCTTGGGCTTCTTCTTCTTTGGACCATAAGTTCCAAGAAGAAAGGCCTTCTGCAAGTACCGGTTGCCCTTCAGAAATTCTTCAGTGTTAACTCCCCCTGCGCGTGTTTTCTCATGAGCCTGCGCTATTGTCTGTATTTGCTCTGGCTCAATAAACGGACACCTTTCCTCAATAATGGATATAAAATCCTCCTTGCTCACAGTCCCATCACCTCGATCAGATGCCTCAAATATTTCACGAAGAATCGCCTGATGTTCTCCAGACCAATCATGTAACCTGATAGCCCAGGGTGGATTGGGGTCCTTTACTCCAGGTTTGGGTTTAAAAAATTTGGCATATCGCCGTTCAATTTTACGTATTTCCTTTGCTGCTGCTTTGAACCCACCATCTTTAGCAACCTGTCTTGGTACCTTCTTCTCTAAGTTTCTCCAAGTAGGATCGCAGCCTACAAATAGAAGAAATACACTGAAACCAAGTTGCTGTTGGAGATCAAGAATAACATAAGCTACTAGTTTTATGATTCTTGAAACACAGAGCATTGAACATTACTGCTAATAAAAGCTCCAGCAGTTAAAACAAACAGACAAACAAAAATGGCAAAGTTCTGACCTGACTGCCAATTGCCTACTGGGTGCAATTATTATGGCAGACTGTTGTAGACACAATATCCCCATTCAAACATTACCATATTTTATATGGAATTCACACCATGATGATGCAGGATCCTGGCTTGCATGGAAGTTGTAGGTACAAATTGTAGATATGCTTCTATGGGCACCATTAGAACATCATCAGGAGATGAGGTGGTTATCCTGAGCACCCACTTGGTGAACCCTTTTGATAAAATATAATCTGAACAGGACTAATGGATTGGATCCAAACCAAGAGTAACCTAGCTTGTTTGTGCATGTGTATGTACTTACCTATTTATTTATTAGGTTTATTCCCTGCCTTTTCCCTTGTATTAGCAAGGCAGATTTCAAAAATACAAATGACAATGACGTTAAAATCAATAAGTGAACAAAAATACCTTCAGAAAGAGATGTTTTTACAATCGTTCTAAACCTTGGAGAATGGGGGCTGAACACACCTGCCTAAGGGAGAGCAGTATAAACCTGGGAGCCATACAGAAGGAGGACCTGAGAACAGGGCTCCAAAGGGTCTCTCCTGCTATTCGGAGTAACCAGGCAGGTTCAAATAGGAAGAGCCAGTCTACGGGATTGTCGGGTCCCAAGTGTTTGGTGCTTTAAAGTCAACAACTGGCATCTGGCATAGGTCTTTCAATGCACACATTAATTGATCCCTATATCTTGTTAGTTTATCTGCTGCATTTGGTACCAACTGCAACTTCCAGACATGTTTCAATAACAGTCCCACATTGATTATTGGTTCCAGCTGAACTGAAAACAAAATACAGTGCATGTCCCACTGCATGGGCAAGGCCAGATACCAGTGGGGACTGGTCTATGGTCCTTATGGAGCACATGAAATTGTGAGCCACTCTTGATTGGGCAACCTCAGCAAGAACGCGTGTTCTAGAAGTGCCAGAAGACACGAAGTCTTGGTAGTTCACTGCCATCTAACTAGTTTAGGAAGACAGACTGTTGTACAGCAGTTGGATGATACACTAGTTGTATTCCTACCGTATTTTGGCCATATGAACATAACACCAATAATTCAAACTGGCAGACTATTGGAAGGAGCTTTTGATCAATGAGATGGAATTCCATAGACTGCAGTCGTACCACTTCCCCTGCTCTCTAGACTTAATCTGTTGCATGCAGAGCAGCGCACTGGATAGAGCTTGGAAACATTAATACATGTTTGGTTTGTACTTTCATTCAGGATATTTTACCAACAATGGACCTGGTGTTAAAAGACTTAAGTACCTATCTTCATGGCTACCTCAACTTCCTTGATTAGACTACAGTTGGAAAGGAAGATAGGTCAACCAATGGCCTACTCTCCTTCTCTGCAATCTTCAAGGTGTTGCCAAATTTCATGGGAGTGAGTAAACAGTGCCCAGAACAGAGGACAAGAAGAAGGATGGAAGGTAGATTTCCTGAGATAGGGAAACAGTGGCCCTCTAGAAGTTTCTAAACCATTTTCTCCCAGCACCTATCATCATTTGTTATGCTAACTGGAGGATCACAAGAACTTTGCCCTACTCTAGTAGTTTGGTTGACTGATGTCTAAGTGCCCAAAGCTTCTTTTTAATACAGTATGCTTTACTATCAAGCAAGCAAAAGAATGTGCAGTGAGAAAAAAAACTAAGTTCTGTATAAGTGATAACGGGTTCAAAGATTAGACAACTGAAATTCTACATTTGCCATAGAGGCTCTTCATTCTCCAACATTTATAGTTTACCTCTTTGACCAATAAACTTGCAGCACTCTGCAAAACCCCCAGCAGCAGCATAATGAAGTGGTGTATTTCCATTCATGGCTATGAGGCCCACGTCTCCATTGTAAGCAGAAATAATCTTCAGGATCTGGGAAAGCAAGCCCACAACATCAATCAGTTTGAGTTTATTTTGAACTGGAGCAGAACATCACTAACTGATTTCACTGAAACAGTTTAAAAACTACTACTGTCACTATAACATGGAGTAATAGCGATTGAGATAGGTGACTGTGTTGGCATGTAGGCAACATTACTATATGGTAATCCTGTTACAGCAGGAGAGGGGATCCTTTTTTAACTTTTTAAAAGTTTTCTGTGGACAAAATTGGATTTTCATACTTTTTCTGCTTTTTTATAAAAGGGTCAAATTATTCTGCTGTAATTTGATGGTCTGCTACTCAAGTTTCATCTTGGAGGCTATAAAAAAAGGGCATGGATGGCATATGAGAGATCTATCTCATCTTAAGAGAAGATCTTCATTAAATGCACTGTGTGCATATGCTGAGTGAACCCAAAGACCATCTGATTTCCACACCTCCTTATTCTTATTCTAATGAAACACATTTTCAGTATCCAAAAAATAGCTTTGGATTCTTTGAATAGCTCTGAATTAAAATTATCACATCATTTAGAAATTAAATGCTTTATTCAGTTAAACCCCAGGAGAGCTTTGAATGCCAAACATCTGATCTCCAATAAGTTACTGCATGAATATAAGGTACAATAGCATCCACTAGTTTCCAATTCTCTTGTCTTCCACCAGTAGGATATAACTGAGCATTTCCACACGTGGTATACAAGCATCTGCATATTTGCCTATATAGTGCTTCATGTGGCAAAAGCTTTTGCTGATCCAGGCACCCTTCCAGATAAGAACATTAATTCCCAGAATTCTCAGCAATGAACATAATCACTAAGAATCATTGGAATTGAAATCCACACATCTGGAAGGCACACAGGTTGGTGAAATCTAAATCAGAATATCTACCAAGGTTGGTTCACAAAAATGGAAAAAGCTAACCATTGGAGAGTTGGCCCAGCACTAGAGGATCCATCAAGACAATGATCCTAAGGCTGAGGAAGACAGAAGGGAAGCCTCAAGTTATCACAGCACAGATTCACATAACCTGATGCCTTCACAATATCTCAGACTATGACCTCTGGCTGGGAATTCTGGAAGCCATAATCCAATCCATTTGGATGGTATCTGCTTGGGGCTTCCTGTCCTAACATTGAACTAAGCATTAACTTTATGCTCTACGTTATTAAGACAGGGGTTCAAAAATTGTGGCCCAAGGGCTACATACAACTTGTCAGCATGCATTTTGTGGTTCCCAGAATACATCCCCCCCCCCCAAATGCATTTGGGATGGGACTGCACTTTGGGGGGGGGGGTTAAAAAATAAAATGGGCACCGTAAGACTTGCAAATACTTACTGAACTAATTTCAACCTTTGAAACTGCTGAACTCTCTCCCCAAATGGGCTCTGTTCTTTCTTACTTTTGGTGTTAAAGACCTAAACATGCTGCCCCAAAACCTTGTGCAGTCCTGAGCCAATGGAAGTTGCAAAGCTCTATTTTAGGAGCAAACAACCAGTTCAACTGAACTTGCTAGATATAAATCTTCCAGAATGCTATTTCTGTTAAGAATAGCATTTGGGGGTGGTGGGGTTGGGGAAGGGTAAATAGTAGCAATAGAGACAATGTTGAGTCACAAACTGATGTAGGACCCATCTGAAACTGGCTCCTCCCCACACCACACAATTATTCCACTTCAAGTCAAAAGTAACTGATTTAAGCATACTTAAAACAGGCAGACAAACAAGTGAGTTTTTCCTGGGGGATTTGTTTGGGACAAATCCCTGGCATAGCAACCTCCAATCTTAATGAAGAGAACCGTCAGACTGGAGGCTTTCCGTATGAAACAGCAAGAAATATTCCCATTGGCAACATTTAAATAGATACATTCCTCAGCAATGACTGGGGAGGGGAGATCAATTCAACATAATGGCAGAATGACAAACACTACCCCAAGCAGTAATCTCACATCAAGTTGTTCTTCCCCCTTCCATCAAGTGTGATTCTAGAAGTGCATAACATAGCACAATGATGAAAATTTCTCTCTTGTGCTACCAGGAGGGGGAGATAGTAGCAAAATGGTAGCAGAACACATTCCTTCAGCAGCCAGTGATTTAAGTGGGTTAACTTGTGATTTAAAGATGTTGTGTGGTTCTGTAACCATGTTATGGAGAAAGTTGGGGAAATTCAATTCAGAGCTGCCATTTTTGACAGCAACCTTGCTACATACTGTCTTCTCCAGTTTAAATCTTCATCCATCTCTGGACCTCTGATCATTTTCACATTTCCCCTTCTACTTTGTGACCCACTTTCAGGACAGCCTCCCCATGTTACCAACCCATAGAGAAACCGATTCCAGAATCCCTTCTCTAGCGACAGCTGATTATTAGTAATTAACCAAGAGAGTTCCTTGGTTGGATACCTTTGCTTCTGACAGCATCAAGAAAGAATACCTCAAAAAACCCTCCTTTGGCAGCAAAATGGGCAGCATGGTGTCGCTCGTTGTCAAAAACATTAACATTCCCACCTCTCTCCAGGATACCCCGGACCACATCTAAAACCCCTTCTCTTGCTGCTTCCATCAAGGCAGTGCGGCCTGTTGCCTGCAAATCAGAGAGAAGTGATTATAGATTTTCTGAATTTCAAAGGAGACAGAAAACAGGCAAGGTTCTATTGATAAAACAATTTGCCAGGATTTAGAACTGGCAAAGGAAAGACTCAGCTTGTTTTCTCCTCTTACCTGTAAAAAGAGGCTACATTTGGACCTGGAACCTTTGCCATCCGGTTACAAACCAGGATCCTAGTAGAAAATACTGTATATGATGCCTCTAGGAACTTTCTCTCCCTTACATGTTTAAGTGTTTCTCAATTGATAAGGCCAGGAGACCAAGCTGTAACATATATACTCTATGACATTTTCCAAATCAGAATGACCTTTATATTTATTATGGCCTTCTGTTTGATGTATCCATTTCCTATATGCTGAAGATTTGATTCTGCTTTACACATGGGAACATTATACATAGGAATGCTCCCAAACATTATTTGGAATGTAAAATAGTAACATCCCTGAATTCCAGCACTGCACTTTGCACAACATGATTCTGAATCTGTTAACATTTCATTCCAAGCACTCCAAATAGTGTGCAGAATACCAGGGACACCACTAAGAGTCTTGGATGATATAGTGTAATTAGGGCATCGATGATTTAGACCTGCACACAAGTACAAACAAGAGCATTTCTTGTTTTGTTTGATATGATGCACTGATGTGTCTTAGGAAGCCTACACTGGACAAGATATTGCCTTCCACATGGGAGAACAGGAGCTGGCTTTATAAGATAGAGCCTTCCATATGCTCTTACAACAAGAAGTTGTACTGTATTTTTTAAAGAAATCTAGCTCCTGATTAATGAGATTCTCTTTTAGTCAGTCCAAACCAACTGACTGAATAAAACCGCTTTATGCCTGAAGTGTCCAACTTCCACACTTAAAACGTTAAGAATGCTCTTACTGGGTTTGTTGCATTGGGGTCTGCTCCTCTTTCCAAAAATGTCATACATATCTCTTTGATCTCGTGGGCTTGCTCACAGGCTTGTACGAAAACTGGCTTCCCCTCAATAGTACAGTTGTTAACATCCGCTCCAAATTCGAGGACCATCTGAACACAGCGGTAGTGCCGTTTGGTGGGCAGAATGCAATAAAACAGCACTCCTGGAAAGAGCACATAGCACTATGGCTTAAAAAGCAAACGCCCACCACACTGAACACAACTACCAATCACTAAGGGATTGAATCATACAGTTTGAACTTCCTTAAAATCCTCCCATGCTCCCCAAACAAAAGGAAATGGGACTTGTCTTACCTTTTCCTTCTGCATCAACTATTGTCATGTCTGCCTCAGCCTGGACTAGCACGTCCAAGGCCAAGTCATGGCCAAGTTCTGCCGCTTTCATCACGGGAGTGCGCCCCATTCGATCTTGGACATCAGGGTGAGCTCCAAGCTCTAAAAGAAAGTTGCACATGTCAACGTCATTGGCCACACAGGCCAAGTGAAGGGCACTGTCTCCATTTTCTGGCTCAGTGAAATTGATGAGTTCAGGGTATCCAAGCTTGGTGAGCTTTTCAATCTGTTTCTTGTCCTTCTGGAGAACACACTGAAGAACTTTATAGATCTGGAGGTTTTCAAGCCTCTTGTCAGCGAAAGACATTTTCAATACCCTGAGGAAAGATGTCCTCTTAAAGAAGGATCCTGAGCAAACAAAACAAAAGAAAGGAAACAGAAGGGAATCAGTCCATGCTAAACTCTTTAAGATTTACCTTTATGATCGCTTTTGTGATTGCTACTAACAACACTTGTGATGGGCAATTTCTATTCTGTGAGTTCAGAATAGAATATGGGTTGCGCAGGGCTTTGGATTCAAAGAAAAAGGATACTTTAGAGTGTGCTGGAGCGCTCAAGTCTACAACATTTTAAAGCAGTTGCATCTTTTCCCAGGATCACAAAACAGCCCTACACAACTGTAGTGTGTCCCCGATAAAACATACATTTTGGTTTAAGGAGTTCCCAACAGGTATTACTTGTGCACCCATGCACATTCTGAAGCACCTTCCCCCCCACCCCCCAAACCTGAAGTGCTGCTCATCCCTAGAATACCTTAAGGAAGGTTCAAGAAATGGGCTTAACATCCTTTCCCAGATATTGTCCTAGCATCTCCTTCCCTCCTATAGCATGTAAGGATTCAACAAAAGAAGAGTGACATTAAGGTAAATCAGCTCCCCTTTCGATAGCTTTTACATCCCCCAGCCCGGGTGCCAGCAAAGATCAAAGGCATTAAGCCACTGTCAGAACATCCCTGGAGCACTATGGGGTTGCTAGGTTCTAATTGGATTCATCAGTTAAAGAAGAGTGAGAATGCACTGCTTTCATTGATAGAAAGAGAATGAAAGCTTTGCCCGGCATTTGCTCTTACAGCTAGAGCCTGCAATAATATAGCAGGAGAAGGCACCATTTATATGTATGGCTAACAAAAAAAGGGTGAAGCTGAACTCAAGCAATACTATGCATCTTTTCTAAATAAAGGTTTGCAGAGTAAGGCTTGCCTACAAATAAACATTACATGTAGAAATAAGAATGGATGTGAGAAAGGCTGTGTGGCAACTCAGATTCTTTCTCCAAAAGATTCTTTGGCACCTACAAAAGCATGAATGCAGCACCTGTCTGTCCCATCTTAAAGCAGGTGTGACTTTTCCTGGGATTGTATGGCAGCTGCTTTAGTCTTCCTAACTTTTTGATCAATTTTGGTGCGTTTTTCTGTGGATCAGTGTTTCTCAAGCTTGGGAACTTTAAGATGTGTGGACTTCAAATCCCAGAATTCCCCAGCCAGCAGCCGAGGTTGAGAAACACCGGTTTAATCCCAAAAAGATTTGGGTTGAGTCAAACTGAATCCAGTCTGGATTAGCTCAACGAGTCCCATGTACAGCATGCTGGCTGGGGAATTCTGGGAGTTGAAGTCCACACATCTTAAAGTTCCCAAGGCTGAGAAACACTGTTGTAGATACTATAGTTCTATGACATCTTAATTGTGATGTCATATAACTATTTCTGAAACACTGTCTTGTAGATTTTTATGAAGGCTTTACAATACTCAGATGCCCAGGAAAAGTTAAATAGAGTCCGATTTTTGGAGCAGTCACTGACCTCTAGACAGCCACTTCTGAAAAAGATTCAGTCCATCCCCTAGTCTCCTGTTGTCCCATCCACAGCAGGAAATGAATGACCCAAGCTACTCTATAACAAGTAGGTGTAACCACATACTTCGCTGTGCTCGTCTTCAATGCCTTTTGTCATGTGGCCAAATAGGTGGAATATAGAACGCAGCCCTAGAGATTCCAAAGCCTTTTTGACACGCCACAACTTAGAACCCAGGGAGACAAAACAAAGGCACCCAAATGAAGCAGATTCATCCATGCCCATTAATCCCAGGCATGTCACTCAAACCCCCAAGTGAGCATGTTTAAAAGTCCAACATCACAGACAAAGCTTTCATAAGATGAGGCAAGCTTCCTAAGCAGTTTCGTGCCCACTTACATGTCGCCATATGATGCAATGCAGGCCTGTTCACACGACATGGCTGAGAATGCCTGCATTGGCCACGCTAGAAAACGGAGCAGGACCTTGGGAGACTAAAGTGTTATCCTTTGTGTTTTTGTGAACAGGAGTTCATTCTCTGGCTACCTGAACCCTCTTTTTTCATGCAAAAGCCATATGCCATAATCAGACCCTCACCCCCTGAGGAGACCTGAGGACAGTCACCAGCACGCACAGCCATGTCTACCCTTCAGCACACTGTCTCCTCATCCCCCACCCGGCTCCCTCCAGAATTCCAATGCTGGCTGGGAATTCTGAGACTTGTTATCCAGACACTTCTGGAGGGTGCCCTGTTGGGGAAGGTTGGATGACATCATCTGAGGTACGGCCATTGTTGCCCCGTTTGTTTTCCTCCTCCGTCTTGTCAGACACTGTATTTTGTTCAGCCTGCTTCCAATCCAGCTTACCTGCGACCCTGCCGACGCTCCAGGAGAGCAGGACGACTCGCAGTAGCGCATGACTTCTCCCAGAGGCGTGGGCTACTGGCTGGAGAGCCAAGGCGGGAACAGCCCGGAGGATTCAGGCGAAAAGAGATTGTTAGCCGGGAGCTCCTATAGCAACAGAACCGAGGAAAAAGCAGGCGCGCCGGCACATGCGTAACAATGGTAGCCAGACCCAGCTCTGCCGACCTCCGAGGCGCCGAGCTGGACTCATCCCACCCCGCGACCACGTGGGGGGCTCCCGCCCGCGCAGGACCCGCGAATGGGAGCGGGGAGGGGGCGGCGGTGGGCTCCGGGCGACGGGGATCTTTGGACTGCGCACTGGGTCTGCGGCTCACGGTCGAAGTTTTTTGTTTCTCTCAGGGTAGGTCGGGTTGAAACCTCCAGACTCCGATTGCTGGTAGGGACCGTGGAATAAAATATGGAGGTTTTTGACTTGAGGGACGTTAACCAGCGTCTTTTCTCGACGGAGAACGAGATCAAAGGCGCGCTCTTCCCAACTCACGTCTCCTCGTGTGGAAAAAGAGAGAAACGTTTGAAAAGGCATTCCAGCGCTCCAGCAAAATTAATTGAAAACGTGAGAGATGCATGCGGAATCACTTTAAGTATTGTTTGATCGATGTAAACTGTTTGTAAATTACTGCAACGAATTAGATTCCAGCCTGCACGTGAGGGGAGGGGAGGAGGAGAAAAAGAACTGATCGCCTTTTCTTAAATAAAGCAGGGGTACTGTGATATTAATTAGGGAGAGTTAAATAACTGGGGCTTTTCCCTCGTGTAATTTGAGCATAACGTTTTGAGATTGTTGCAGTTGCTGGGTGCCTGTTTCAGAAGTCCCAGGGAGTCTCCAGAACCCCACAGCCTAATGGGATTTAGGATGTGATCTCTGAACAACTCTGCAGTTAGGTTTCAGATCGCTTACCTGGCTCCTGTGTCTAGGCTCACAGTTTCTCAGAAGTTGGAACAATAGTCTACAGAGATCTTTTCTTTACAGACAAAGAGAGTTATGTCAGTCTTCTTCCACGACTTGTGGGAAGTTCATATGCTTTTAAGGTCTCCTGTGGGAAGTTCATGTGCTTTTAAGGTCTCCTCCTTCTTCTTATCACAAGAAGAGCATGTCTCACAACTTTCCATGTTTGCCTTCAACTGTGTGTCCTCCAAAGCCATCAAGCATACCTAACAACAAGCTCCCTAAGTCAAATACCTTGTGTGATGCATGTTTTTCCTCTCTTTGCATAGTGAGTGTGGCTGGGATGAAATGTACATGTTCATGAGAACATCTTGGATACTGAGTTCTTCCTTAACGCTTCTGCTCCTTCAGGCACTTGGGTTTATTTGCTGACCAACCTTATTGTAACTTGAGAAGAAGGATTGGCTCCACTTTTAGTAACCAGTCATTGCAGATTTGAAAGACTGGTTTGAATTTCCTAATGTCTAGCAAAAGATCATCCTGCAGCAAAATACAACTTGTAATAATTTCAATGTATTATATATTTTGTCAAATTAAGCAGAAATATCAGTGGATTTCATTTTTACCATTTATAAAGGTATCCATTACCATTGCTAGCTTTTTATACAGAGCCTTGGTACATATGTGCCTTGGATAGTTAAGCATGGAAGAGTTTTGTCACAAACCTCTTTTTTTAAAAAAAATCTGAAGATTAACTGCAAGAGTTTTAAACCATTTTTTAAAAGTTCCCATTATGGTTAAAATAAAGACGTGATCCATATGATAGAGGTCCCCATTGGAAAGCTTAGCTCAAGGATGAGTTATATGTACTGTAGATGGCTTAAGGCAGAACAATTTCTCATCTGCAATATTGGGGTGTCATAATCTGCAATATTATGGTATGGCCCCTGGGTGTCATACCATAATCATAATGTTGGCTAGATCCTTTAGCGTAGCCACAAAGGACTCACCAGATGTACTGAGATTACAAGTTCCAGAATTCCTTGCTGGCTAGGAACTCCAGGAGTTGAAGTCCCTATGCATCTGGAGGGAACCAGGTTGAGGGGAGATTACTATACAGCAGTGTTTCTCAACCTTGGCAGGTTTAAGAAGTGTGGGGTTTTATTCCCACAAATTCCTAACCAGCCCAGCCTGCGGGGGGGGTTTGTGGGGGTTGTGGTACTCATTTTT